AAATGCAACTAAGATACAATCCTAACATACACAATGCTATGAAAATGAAATGCCTCGAAATGCGTACACACGGGCACGCAAATCGAGGCAATGGCATACGCAATGCAAATGACGTGGAAATGGCATATGGGCTTACACTAACATGAGAGAGACTCAGCCACACTCAAATAAGAGGCCGATGGAAGAAAATGAAGCGCCTCGAAATGCGTGCACACGGGCACGCAAACCGAGGCAATGGCATACGCAATGCAATATGGCTAAAATGGCATATAGAATGCAACATGGACTTATACTAACATGAGAGAGCCTCAACCACACTCACATAAGAGGCCGATGAATGAGAATGAAGTGCCTCGAAATGCGTGCACACGGACACGCAAACCGAGGTGGTGACATACGCGATGCAATGGCATGAAAACATGATACGGGCTTATACCAACATGAGTGAGCCTCAGCTACACTCGTATAGGAGGCCGGTGGATGAAAATGAAGTGCCTCGAAATGCGTGCACACGGGCACGCAAACCGAGGCGATGATAGAATGCGATGCAATGACATGAAAACATGATATGGGCTTATACCAACATGAGTGAGCCTCAGCCACACTCGTATAGGAGGCCGGTGGATGAAAATGAAGTGCCTCGAAATGCGTGCACACGGGCACGCAAACCGAGGCGATGACAGAATGCGAAGCAATGACATTAAATGGAAAGCAATCATTCTAATGGAATTTCAGCACTAAAATATGGGGGAAAACAGTCCCGAAATGAGGCGAAATGACACCAAATGCATGGAATAGTCCCGAAATGCGAATTTAGGCACCCGAAATGGCCTATAGCTATGCAATGCGTGCACAATATGGACATGTAATGCAAATATAGAAGCTAGGCAGTCCCAAAAAAGGCACTTTCACAGTTATAAACATGGCCAAACAGCAAGCATAGGTATGGCAAAAATGGCATGCGAAAATGGCCCTAAACATTGGATTAAGAAGCAACTCATAGCTGCTGTCCTCAAACAGGTTAGGACCCTTCAACAACATTGAAGAGGGACCAAAAATAAGCACTTTCACAGAACTGTAAAAACCTCAAAAACAAAAGCATGGTAGGCTAACAAAACATGCAAGAAAACGGACCAAAAGGTGGCCAAAGAGGCAAGTGGCATATGCAATGCCCAAACTGAAAAATTCCCTTCTACAACATTGAAGAGGGACCAAAAATAAGCATATTTCCAGAACTGTAAAATGGCCAAAACAGTATAAAAATATGCTAGAAAGGCAATGCAAAATAAGGCTCAAAAGAGGCTATAACATGAGGTATGCAAAATAATCCACAAACGGCCAAAGACCCTTAATGAAACATGTATAATGGGCCAAAAAAAGACTATTTATAGAACTGTAAAATGGCCAAAAACAAAAGCATGGTAGGCTAACAAAACATGCAAGAAAACGGACCGAAAGTGAGATATAACATGAAGTGGCTTATGGAGGTCCCAAACCATGAAAGACCCTAAACAAAACATGAAGAATGGACCAAAATAAGACTATTTCCAGAACTGTAAAATGGCCAAAAACGAAAGCAGGGGGGGCTGCCAATTTATGCAAAAATGGGGGCCAAATAAGGGATATAACTACAAGTGTATAACATGGAGGCATCAAATGGTGAGGGGCCCTTCAACAATGTTGAAGAAGGGCCCAAAATAAGCACATTCACAGATTACATCATGCTAAAAAACAGATTACTCATGGGCCAAAAATAGCATGCAAGATTATGACATATAAGAGGATCAATGAAGCAAGTGCATCATGAAGGGCTCAAACAGGGTTGAGCCCTTAATGAAAAGTGAAAATGAGCTCAAAAAGGGCCACTTTCAGTTAGGGCCGGAGCTTGAAAGAAAAAGCATATAGGGCTTACAAATGGATCAAGAAAAAGGGTCAAAAGAGGAGAAATGTCACTTACCCTTGAAGACCAAAGCCTTTGTTGCTTCTTGGACCAATTTGCAGCTCCTTTAGCCTCTGAGAAGCTCTCCTTGTTGCTGGAAATGAGGTGGTGATGGTAGAGCTTGGTGGTGATGAAGAACACAAGGTGTAGGACTTAAGGATTTTAGGAAAATGAGAAGGATGGAGGGAGATATGGATCTTGAGACTTGAAGAACAAAATTTCTAACCCCTAAATGTGATATATCTTGCTGGTTATAAGGGCCAAAAAGGGGTTGTAAAGGTGGGGGAAAAGGAGGCCAACTTTCCCCCACAAAATATCGCTCGGATATTGATATTTTCTGGGGGATAAAGCTATACAGCTGTAAAGTGAACAATGCAAGGATCTCGGCAGGCCAAGTATTTTGGTTGCAGGTGGCCGGCCGGCCACAACCCCTAGCCGGCCGGCTAGGGGTCAAAAGGGTCAAGCTTGTTTAGTGGCCGGCCACCAACTGATGGTGCCCTCCTATGTGTGTACAACACAACCCTGTGGTTCAAAGTTCAAGAAAGTGGGCCCAA